TTTTTTTAATGGGTAAAAATATCCAAAAAATAAAAATAAAAAGAAAAATAAAAAATTTCTAGTAGAGGCACTTTTCAAGTTCGCCTCCAAAGATGGGTTCCATTTGATAGATTAGCCTAGACTTCTTGGGTGTATTTTGATATTAATGGTCCAACCCATGTTGCCAAATGATGAATGATTTGAAATTAAGATATCTTTTGTAAAACACACAAGCACACACACACATTCTCTCTCTCTCTCTTCCAAAGATTCACATTTCTAGAGAGACTTGAGACCAATCACGATAACCTTCAGTGATAGAAAAATCTATAGTAAGAGATATTTAGAGGAAGAGCATAGACCTAGAAGCTAGAGAAATTCTGAATAAAGTATGGTTCTGGGGCAAAATTAGAGATCTAAATGTCTGTTTTTGGATATCTTTAAGAATTTTGGGAAGAAGATTAGATCAATTGGGGTCCAAGTATGTTTGATTGTTTGCTTCAACAGTCAACATGCATATTTTTTGGCTACAAAATATATTTTTGCCCAAGTCTCTTTAAAAAAAAATATAGTTGTCTTTACATAACATTTCAAAAACCTTGATGAAAAATGAAAAAAAAAAATTGAAAGAGAGGGTAGAACTAAGCACATACAAGGCAATGGTGTAGTGTTTCATTGAACATAAGTTAACCAAAAAAGTTTCATGCACTTAAAAAAACAAAATGTTTCATTTCCATTGTTACAAATATACATAGCACTTAAAAACTATAATTAAAAAAAATCAAGCAAAAAAAATCGAGTAGAAGATCGGGTGACATTATCATGCACTTATTTTATTTTTTATTTGAGAGATGAAGCCTTGAAAATCCAAATCCACAACTGAATTTGATAAAAAAAGCAACCAATACATTGATAAAAAATATGCTTATTTGAATCGAACATAGGTTCTTTGAGCAGCAGCATTTTAGGCCAAAATCAACCCACAATCTTTGATTTTTTGAACAAAATGAAATATAAATCTGATAAATACTTTGATTATCTATCAAACCCTCTAAATTTCTTTAAGAACCATTAGGTATTGAAGAGATTATTGAAAAAATGACTGAAACTTTCAAGACCCTAAAAAATTCGTCATTTCAATCCAAGAAACTCTTTTCTTTTCAATATTTCAATCCAAATTCCTTGCTTTATAGATATTAGATAGTGATTTACAACAACAAAACATGAAAAATACAAGAAAACGAATAAAAAAAAAAAGTGAAAAATTGGATTCACGGGTACCTGCTACATATAACAGCCCCTATTTCAAAATAATTGGCTAACTGTCCGGTTAGCATAAAACTGTCCAGTTAAACAAAAAAATGGCTGGTTCGACCTCTACCCGGTTGGTTTTAGGCCGCACATTTTAAAGAGATGTACCCTAGGCTACTATACACCCAAAACCGACCCTAATCGTACTCAAAACCCTAGCTGTTCTGACCTAATTGGCCAGTTTTTCTAACACTTGTTACAACAAGTAACAATCAGCCACCTCTTTGTAAGAAGTTTAAGGTTTGATTCTTGGTTGGGGGAGAGGGAGGGGGGTGCGGCACAGGCAGAGTCTTTTTTAAAAAAAGAGATCAGACCCTTACCAAGCTAGAATCACAGGGACCTTAAAACACATATGACTTAATTCCAGCGCATGTGCATAAATATGAATAAAATTTATAAATATGAAGTTTACAAATATAGAGTACAATCTACTCGCCCAAAACTCGTATCGTATCGCTCATAGAACGAGGCCAAAAAGCAAAGGTTTATGAAACGAAAAGTCTTTTTTTTTTTTACTTTTTTTTTTAAAAAAAAAAAAAAAAAACCGCTATCGCAGAATGAGGAGGATGACAAAAGTGCAGGCCAATGACAGGGATCAAAAAGAAAAAGGAAGTTGCGCATGAAAACAAGACTGTTGTACATCCCCAGAAAAAGGTTTTTCCTAAAAAATCACCGATGAAAATTATTTTGATAAGTGATTTCAGCAAAAAACTAATTAATATGATTCAAATTGGTATGAATTTTTTTTTTATAACTGTTTTTATTTTTTTGTGCACAAATCTAGCTCGAAATGCCCACAGTGGGCACCAAATTGTTTACAGTAGTGCAAATCGGGACGATCTAAAGATGAGATCGACCAGATCAGAACCACAAACCGATTTTTTTTTTTTAAGAGTGATAGAGAGTGGGACCAATCAAATTTTGATCTAAGGCCAGATCTACTAAAAAATGAGCATATATGCTCTCAGATCAGTGGTAGAGCCAACAACAATCTGAAATGCGAAATACTATGTAAAATGCAATAAAACTAATTTAATTTAAATAAAATAAACAAAAATAAATAAAATGAAGTGCAAGAAATTAAACTATACAAGACCGGGCCAGTTGGCCTAGAACTCCCAAGGCTTCGAGGCTTTGCCGTATCAAGACGGACTGAGTTTATGCCGTGCATCGTCTTTGTTTCTCTTCAAGTTTTAACCAGGCACTGGCTTGGTTGAATGGCTTTCTTAACCTAAGGCCGCAGGTTTAATGACCTAAAGCTAAGGTCTTCCTAAGTCTAACGTTTTCTCGAGGTATCATGTTTTTTGGCCAACAATTTTACAAATTTTCAAAGGAAGGAGTTTGAAAGTCTAACCCTATGAATGATCTTGAAATGGTATTTAAAGGCTGAAAATCGACTGGAGCAGGTAACTGTCAATTTCAAATGGATTTTCCAGCCTGCTGTTTTGGATAAACAAACCAAAAGAGTCCAAATTCAATGAATCTGCCCAAAAATAGTCGCAGAGTGGTGGCATGTGGAAACTACCATTCATTTTGAGGCAATCAAGCTGGGTGGCACAAGTGGTGTAACCTAAACCAAATCTACTCAGAATTAGCAGATTCCAGTCGACATGCAAAGAGCTTGGCAATGATCTTAAAGGATCGCCCATCTCTCATCCGGCTTTGCCTCTTGGAGGAGCGTTGTGGTGATTCTTTCTTCCTTCAATTACGATGCCGGAGGGTTGTGGTGATTCTTCCTTCCTTCAATTACGATGCGAGTTGGGCCTCCTGCACCCTCAAGTGGACCTTCACAATTAGCTCGGCCTCATATTTTTATTGCAATTTACCATCTCTTGTTGCAATTTACTAAAGGATTCTCCATCTCTTGTATGTGGATGACCTTAAGGATTCTCCAAAGGATTCTTATTCTATTAGAGCAAGATCACTTATTTGGTATAAAGAGCTATATCTCTAACCCTCGACAATATCATGTTGATCATACTTTTTAGACCAACTCACTTGACCCATAAAACCCACTCATCACCCATTTTTTTCGCACTCCTAGATGCAAGAAAACAACATTGAGCTCAACCAAGACTTTTTCTCATTCAACATGAATACCCCGTATAATACTTATGGGAATTTTTTTTTAATAATAATAAAAAATAAAAAAAATAAGCCTATAATATTTTTCTAACTACAAAGCTTACTTTTTCTGACTAAATACGGATACCTATTCAATCCAATTTTTGTTGTTTTGCATGAAGTTTCTATAAGACTTAGGCTTTATGAAAACTAAATAAAGCTTAACAACAAGTCGTCATTCGAAAAACACTTTCGACCATGGAAATCTATGCAATAGCTCTAAAATTAATTTTTAACAACAAAAATAAAATTTGAAACTCAAAAAATAATACTGATAGTGCAGATCATTGAAGACTTATTTTTACGGAGAGATTGATGGAGATTAGTTGTTCCAATATACATTCTTTTTAAAGCTTGAAATCCTTCTTTTTTCACCGCCATAATGTTCAAGCCAAGATAATCGATGTAAAGGTTTTTCAATGCTTGAATTGTAATATTTGACAAGATATGAGGTGAAGCTTTACTTATTTTGATAGGGCTGCAACCGTAACAAACCATTTTCCTTTTTTTTAAAAAACCGTGGATATCCATTCGATCCAATATTACAGGGCCTCTGTGTGCCAATTTCACATGATATTTGCTTCCCCTCCCAATGCTACCAAGCAGTACAGAAGTCAAGAGCTTGGACACAAAAAGAGAGCAGGGGTAAGGATGTGAGAGAGAGGTTGAAGGGTGAAAGAGAGAGAAGTGGGGGCGGAGCAAGAAAGGGAGCAAGTGTGGGGGCAGAGAGATAGAGAGGGGAAGAGGGCACGAGAGAGAGATGGGACCGTGAGAGCATTATTAACAAGCATCTGTTTAAAACACGAGTTTTTCAAAAAAATCTCTGATTTTCTTTAAACCCGTTGAGAACTAGAAGCTTTTCAAAAGATCTTCAAAAATCATGCTATAGATTCTACAACTCTGAAGCGGGCATTACATAACAATTCGATAATCTTCTGTTAATGAATTGTCATTTTTCACTTCGATAGAGAGAGTGTTTTGTGGAGGGAATTGGCAAACCACAAAACCCTTGCACTTCTCATTTTCTTTGTTTTGTTGGAATATCAACAAGGACTCGCACACTTGTGCCTCAAATAATTCGATGGGGATATTTGTTATCTAAAAGTTCAAAAATCACCTCTAATTTACACTGTAACAACCTGAAAGAATGATTTGTGGCATCTGAAAAAGCAAAACGTGCAAGTTAATGTTGAGACAACATTAAGTTGGAGCGTCTTGAGCTCCAAGTCGGTTTCTTTTCTCAGAATAATCTTAGAGATCAGTAAAACGACTTCAAAGTTTTGAAGTAAAAAAAATAGCTTTGGCATAGTGTTTTGCCCGCAGAGGAAGTGTACAATCCACTCCCACTTTCCTCTTTTAGAGGAGGACAGTATATTTCTTTTATTTTTTTCATAGGACACAGTATAGGTACTCATATCCAACATCCACGATTGACATATATCCAACATCCACTATCCATGTCAATCCCAAGGCGATGGATCGAGTAATTTTTCCGGCTTAAAAGCCGACAACTCATCTCCAAATATCCTTGGCATCTCAAGATTCTATGTAATATATCCAATCTGTCTGCTACATCTCAAGTTCTATTCCTGTTATTGAACTACTCAAATTATATATAACCCAAAAACTCCATCATGCAACCATACTATGAGAGGGTGAGAGCAATAACAACCAACAAAGAAGTTTAAAATGCATCCATGATGGAACGGAATGGCCTGGTCCATCTCCGTTTTAGTAAAATATGTTATAAAGGAAAAAAGAATAGTGTTTCACGTTAAAAAAAAAGAGAAAAAAGGGGGACGAAATTTTTTTAGTAGTAGCCCTTATCAAGAAGCAATTGATCATTTGGTTTGAAACCCACTGCCATCAGCAGTTGCCCAAAGCCCCAAAGAAAGGGCTTGAAAACCCTACCACACATCGGGTCGAAGCTCACCAGTGGCAGGAGGCATCCACTTCCCAGAGTTGTAGACACTCTCGCCAACTTTCCAACCGGGGACATTCTTCATAATTCTGGCCTCCTCTTCCAATACCTTCTTCCATTCCTTCACAAACCTGTACCGTACAGCTATTTCACACACTATGCAATATAACATCTAGCCGACAAATAGTTATACTCTCTCTCATGCACACACACAAACACACACCAAAAAAAAAACAGCAAAATCCAATGTTATATTACCAATTTAAAACACGTCAAAGAGAAACCCATAATCATACCTCTCATCTTCTTCAGCTTGCAGCACCGGAAGTATTGCTCTACGAGCAGCATATTTTTCTTCTTTAATTGCCCTGCAGCACATGACAATGATAATTCAGCACATAGAAACGATAGGATTGACGTAGAACTCGGGCCACATGGGGCCACATGTGGAATGGGTGTCGATACGTTGAAGGTACAATGAAGGGCATAACATACACATATTTAGCCTTGGGATAAGACAATGAGCAGGAGCAATTAGAATGAGAATAGATTTTTTATTTTTTTTTATTTTTTTCAGAAACATAATGTATTAAATAAATAAAAACATACAAGTACAACTACAGATTACAACACAGAGTATCTCCAAGAACCCCTTCATCCGCAAGGGTCTGCTTCTTCACAGGCACCACAGACAACATATTGGAAAGATAATCTCCCTAGAATCACGAATGTCAAATACCTCCAAAAAGAACATAGCCACATGCCATGGAACGGTGACTCCTTTTAGGCCCACAAAGTGACATTTAAACAAGGGTGCGGATGGTATAGAGCCTAGGCTCTAAACAATCAAATTCAAATTTGAGCCTACCTTCAAGTACTGCCGAGAAATGTGGTTTCAATACTGGAAATCTTTGTGATAGCCTTAAAATATATTTTCATCTTTATTTATAAAGTTTAAAGATTCAAAAAGTAGTGTAGATCAACAGATCTATGAAAACTTGAAAATCTTGAAAATCTTGAAACTTGACGGTCCAAAAATGCGTTACAAAATACACTATTTCCAAAACTTTAAATCCATTTTTTTCTCATGTCCATGCATCCTGATGTTGAGATGATCAATTTGAGGATATTTGGGCATCAAAACAACCTCTTCTAGTAAATTTTTTTAGGTAGGCTCTAATTTGATTGTTTAGAGCCTCGGCTCTATATAAACTTTTCCCTTTAAACAATCCTCCTCAACCACCAACTGTACTTCCAAATGGAATGGAGCAAGACATAAGCCTATAAGCAGTTCATAATACTCTGCAATTGTTGAGCCACATACAACCGAGGGGCCCGAGTAACTCATCAACTTCCTTCCTTCTGCATCCCAAAATATCCCATACACAACAGCTGAACTTGGATTTTTCCTCAAGAAACTACCAAAAACTAGCTTAAGAGATGCTACATCCAGCCTACCCCACGTGACTGGGTCCTGGTACGAACGGACCAGAAAATTGCCACCAAATTCCGGTCTTTAATAAGATAAACACCCTGCAAATTATGTAACTCAAGTCTGCCAATTCCTGAAGTGTTCATTGTGTGGCAAAGACACCATGGGCTAAATTGGATTTTTTTAATCTTCAAATCTCGTCAAATACAAATGGGAATGGGTTCCCTAACCAAATGAATGAACATTCATTACCAGCCTGGCTATCATAGATAGGCTTCATTCAGGAAAATTCAGAAAAGGCAGCAAAAACAGGTTGTGTAACCAAATAGTCCACATCTTTTGAGTACCCCGTCTGTGGGCTGCCTACTTGGTGAGTCCTTTGTATATTTTGTCTATATATAAAGTCAACTTATTGATCTTAGCCTTAGTTGCCTTGAGAATTTATTCTGTTATTTCCTAACATTTGTAGTTGTGTTGGAGGCGTGCAGACCATAATTCCCACGATCTTTTATGAAGGGGATCACCCCCGCTCTAGAAGCTCGATCCTGCACTCCGAGACACGAGATCTCGATTCCAAATGATTGCTCGATATTTGGGATCTCAACCCAGGAAGTCAGGGAACTCAATCCCATCTTAACGGGATCCAGATCTCTGTCAAAAATCATAATTCCATGAGTAAGCAGAACCATCATTTCACTAACTTAGAGTGGAGTATCCTCTATTTTGGGAAGGAGTTTCACGGGTGCATTTTTGGGTTGGAGTAGATCTCCCATTTTTATGACCCATAAACTTTCTGAATGCCATCATTTCCTACATATTTTATAATTTACAACTTTACAAAGCGTATGAACCGTAACTTATTGTAAATACAAGATTGCCTCTGAGAAATGCTTCATCTCTGATCCAACTTTTTGTTATTTCATTGGTTTCAATGCACCTACGATAGGGGAGTAAGAGAGTTTTTTGTTATTGTGTGTGAGAGGTCAATGATATGATTCTTGTTTACATTAATACTTGGGTTTGTGAATTTGGACAAATTTAAATATATCGTTCAATGAAGTTGAAGGGAAGTTTTATAGGATAGCTATTAGACCAGGTTTACTTTATAGAGCGGAATGTTGGGTGGTTAAAAAACAACATACTCATAAAATAAGTGTGGCTGAGTTGAGGATGTTGAGATGCATAAGGGCAAAACAAGAAGGGATAGAATTCGAAATGAATACATTTGAGAGAATTTAGGTGTGTGGCACCAATAAGCAATAAGATGAGAGAAAGAAAACTTAGGTGGGCTCGCCATGTGCGGCGCAAATCCAATATAACATCTATTAGGGGGTATGAGTCAGTTAGGGAGGAAGGCTCAAAAAGGGCAAGGGGTAGGCCCAAAAAGACATAGTTGGAAGTAGTGAGAAAATATATGGGGACTTATGGCCTCATTGAGGTTATGGCCCTCAATAGACCAGAATGGTGGACCAGGATTCATGTAGCCGACCCCAATTAGTTGGGAAAAGGTTTGACGATGATGATAATATAAAGTCAACTTATCTCAATAAAAGATGTGGTGGTTAGATCCCTCGTAAAGTAAGATCATGAAAAAAAATTGGCATGTCACGGTTTCCAGTACTTGAGGCTGCTATTGAAGCTGACAAATGCTTTTCTTATGCTGGGAAAGATAAAAATTTCATTAATCAAGGAAACAAACCTCTACATTTTTATTTTTTTTTGAAACTGAACACACCTCTACATTTTTTTCTTTTCTGAAATGGTACTGACTTAATCAATTAAGAAGGCAAGCTAATGCCACAAACAAAACAAGGAAAGCACATAAATTAAGCGACACAACAGAATCTCATAACTAAAACAAACACACTAGCTGCCTCATCGGCATCTCAATGAACAAGCCACAATAAATTAATGCATCTATAAATCGCTCAACCAACTCTGCCAATACATGGGCCACAGTCTAGTGGGCCAGTTATCCTTCTTAACCCATATGATGACATCAAGGCAATCCCCTTCCACTAACAAAAAGAATCACGAGCGGTTCAAGGTGATTATAATGCCCCTGAGGAAGCATTTGCTCAGCCATGGTCAAGTGCCAAGCCCAAAAGGGCCAAAGAAGGACATCAACATCTTCCCTGTGTCCCAAATAAAGCACCAGCCCATCAAATGTGAAATTGAAAAAGCCAAAAGTAGCCTCTGACATTACAAAATGGTCCAGAGATTGGACAGGTGAGGGCACATTCCTCCACCAGCTCAAGAAGTCTGAAAATCAAGAAGTCCAACATTTTCAGACATTTGAACTTTAGAACAAGCAAGGACCCAGGAGATATGCTCTCCCTCAGGGTACCAATAGATGACTTATTCCCTTTAAATACACGCTCGTTCCTCTCTCTCCAGAGACCCTAAATTATGACAGAGGATGACAGCTTCCAAAAGAACTTTTCTATTTATAGAAAAACTCAACTCTCATAATTCATAAGCAAGGGAACTGCACTCCCAACCTTGGATTAATGATAGCCATAGGAATACCCAATCCACCCAAAAGGCCACCACCATAAACGACAACATGTAACTACACCTAGGACAATAGAAAAGAAGATGGCCATCAGTCTCCCACTCACGACATAAAATGGACGGGTTAGGGACCTCCAAGCCGCAATGCTGTAAACATGTATTATAAGAAGCTATTGAAAATAGAACATGCTAATAGGTATCCAGAGATCTAGTTAGCTTCTTGAAATGAGATTCTTTTATGAAATAAGTAACATTATTGTATTACGTATTTTGCATGATGGTTACAGATGAAGTTTCGCAATACAAAACTGGCAGCCACTGCCAGTAGACAAGGGTAAATTACACAATTGCATGTCGTTACCTGCTTTGTGAGAAACCAGTGTAGGGGAAGAATTAGATGATTAATTTTTTGTCATGTGGGGGAGGGGTTGGGTAGAGGGGCCAGGAAGTGAATGATAGGGGAGAGAGGAATGCTTTAGCTTCTGAGCCATTCTGAAGAAGTTGGCTTCCCAAACAAAAGTCCCAAATTCCTCATCCAAAATATCAAAGAAGACCTTTGATCAAAATGTTACAGTCCTAATACCCTTATTCTGTTCCTATCCAGACAAAAGTCTCCAACTTCCAACACCACAGGTGGTACAACAGGGCATATAGTGTTTCTGGTCTATGACCTAGCAACTAAAAAAAGTGAAAAGATAATTTTTTCTTAGCCACGCAAACCAAATGGCAATTTGTTCAAAAATTTAAATGGTTCCAATCAAACATTACATGTACATTAACCCTTTTCATACTTGTAATTAAACTCACCTCACCATTACTTGTCATCCTTTCATTATTAAATTATGTAATCTGGAGCTTAAGTTCCTTGGAATTGCTCTGAAAACTTCATCAGAGCCAATGATTTCTAGATATTGCTTCATCACCACTCATTGCTATTGGACAACTTTGATGGAAACAATGATTTCCAAATAAGTAATAAGTGGACCTCAATTGCTCCATCATAACACATTTCTACCAAACTTCTTACTCGCGAATTGCGATCCACATAGACAAGTACCCTTAAAAGAATACAGTGTTACTCATTACAGTAGGCTCCCATCTCTTCAAAGCAAATGCATCTATTAACTAATTGACGGAATAACATAAGCTCCAATTTTGCCTCTCAAAAAAAAAAAACAGAAGCCCCAATTTGAAGTAGAGATAAGTAAGATTTTTTTCCCTTGCTTCAAATTACAAATATATACTCTTTAAAAAATTTGCTAGACAGAAAAAACAAAATGCAAGTACACCATAAATGATCAAAAATTATAATGCATAGTATATAAATGTTATTAAGATCCAGAAAGAAGAACAAATATAATGCTAAGATAACAAATTAAACTGATCACAATCCAGGGAAAGCACATGTAAGAAACACACATAGATCATAATTTGAAATGGAGATGAATACAGCACACATTTCCAGATTAATTGAAGAAAAAGGGAAAAAACTACAAATATGAAAATAAACAAGCATATCACTGAAATAAGCTCGATTCATATTCAAAGAAAGAAGATAGTGAAAATAAAAAGGTAGAAAACCAGCAATCAACCTCGCCAAAAACAAAGAAATCAGTACCTTCGAACCTTGTTACCCTGTCCAACCTCATACATTCCATAACAGAAGGCACCAAGAGCAGTGAGAAAAATGGCAACAGCACTTGGCCCTTTCGATGGAATCCTTCGAGCATAACGAACGGGAGCAAACCCACCAGGTGGAGGGCCATCCTGCAAAACTGGCATCTCCTTAACACTAACCATGCCCGGCTTCTTCCTGATCATGGATTCAGTCATCTTTACCAACCCTCTGCGAAAAAAAAATAAAAAATAAAAAATAAAATAACAATTTCTTGAGGCGTCCAACAGTTTGGGAAAGTGAAAACCCTCAAAAATTGGATTTTGCGAATACATGAATAATAAAATCACTAGTTTTTGTCTCACCTCTGCTATGACAAAAATCACTAGTTTCTCTCTTGCCTTTGATATGACAAATGCCCCAATTACTCGAACCTCGGTCAAACTGCAACACTAAATTCCTAGATGGTTCTATTTAAAGGAGGATGGTGAGACTAACCTTAAACCACTGGTTATTCCGGCAATCTGAAAGGGAAGTGCCCTGATTTCTCCAAATTCCGGCAGCCTACAACCAAAATCCCCTAACTTCTCAAGCTTGTAACTGCCACACAGATCTCTGTATATCTCTCTTTTCAGGGAAGTTGACATGAGCCAAACCGTAAATGCATGGTCCCTCTGATAGAGAAGAATGTCCTAATTTTGGCAGATTTTACAGGAGCCTATGAAATGAAATGGCAAAAGCTCTCAACAAACAGTTTTTAGCTTGAATACACGCACACTCCCTCACATCTCACATCTCCGATTGAATCCGTCCATCCGATTGAATACTCTCTCACGAAGACAGGATTCTATGAGTCGGCCGACTAACATGTCCACATACGGTCCCCCTCTAATAGATGCAAACTCCCTTGGATGTTAATGTTCTATGGCATGGTCCTTGAATATCTTCATCAACATTAGAATTTTTTTCAAATTATTTGGAGTCCACTATATGAATCCTGATCTATCATTCTTATTTAATAAATGTTATATTGTCTTTGAAGGCATAAGTCCTTATGTATTTTCTCACGACTTCTAACCATGTCTTTTTAGGCCTATCCCTTGTTTTTTTTTTTGCTTTCCACTTGAACCAACTCGTATATCTTAATTGGTGTTGTATTAGGTATGCGGTCTACATGACCAGCCCACTTAAGTCTACTTTCTCTCATCTTATCGTCTATTGGAGCTCATCTTATCGTTGATTGGAACTACACCTAAGTTATCCCGGATGTATTCATTTCGAATTCTATTCATTCATATCTTGCCACTTGTCAATCTCTAACATGTTCATCTCAGCTACACTCATCATATGAGTCATGTAGAATTTGTCCTTCCACCTCATTGATATGTAGCGATCACATAAAACTCTAGTTGCCAACTCCACTCTGCCCATCCAACTCTAATTTTATGTGTGACATTTTCCTCAATCTCTTTATTTTTCTAGATTATCGACTTAATATATCGAAAATGCAATATTTTTGGTATTTTTTGGCCTTCAATCTTAACTATTTCACCTTCTCTATTCCTATTATTATTTAACTTACATTTCACATATTATATCTTAGTAACATTTAAATTCTAAAGTATCCCTCCAAAGTTATAACTTTGTGTTGATGCCACTTCGAGTCTCATCGATCAAAACTATATCATCCACAAATACAGTACATCATCTTGTAGGTGCCTAAATAAATTGTTCATAACTAAACAAATAGGTATGGGTTCAACGCTGACCCCTAATATAGACCTTTTGTCACTGAAAATTCATTTGTCTCTCTACTAGTTGTTAGCGCAGTAGTTAGCGCTCTCTCGTACATATCTCTTACTAAATCTATATAGTATCTAAAGACCCTTTTTTTTTTCAACACCCACAAAATTAAATCTTGAGGTACTCTATCATAGCTTTTCTTCCTATCATATTTAATAAAGACCATGTGGAAATCTTTTCCCCTTTGCCCTAAACTTCTCAATTAGCTGCCTAAGTAGGAAAATAGCCTCAATTGTTGACTTCCTTAGCATAAAATTAAATTCGTTTTCTGCTACACTTGTTTCATGCTTCAGTCGTTGCTCAATCACTCTCCCCCACAGCTTCATAGTGTGCCTGATAAGTTTGATCCCTCGATAGTTTGCACAATTATGTAAGTATCTTTTGTATGTTTAGATATGTATCACAATAGTTTTATTCCATTTGTTTGTCATCATCTTTATTCACAACACTTTATTGAACAACTTGGTCAACCATTCAATGCTGATATCTTCACATTTCGTTGATCTCTTCATCCGTCACCAAGACTAGTGGTGGCAATGGACCCTGACCAGGACCCAACCCAGGCTCAAGTGTGAGTTCAAAAATTGGACTTGGTGGGTCCGGTTCAGATCCAAAATCTTGGACCCGATCACCATTCAGGTCTGAAACTGAGTCTAGGTAGACCCAACCCGGACTTGACCCCGAATAGTGTAAATATCTAAATAATATTTATTCCATGATATTTTAATAATATTTGAATAAATATAAATATACATGTATACTTAATAGTCTTTAAATAATGCATGTATATAAACAAATCATGAAATATATTTAAATATATTGATATTTTGATTTTTGGGTAGGGTCTGATTAGGTCTGGTTTGCTTCAAGTCCGAGTCCGGGACCCACATTATATTTTCAAGTTCAAGTACGAGTCAAGTGACTTCAGGTTTAGTCGGGTTCTGATTCCATAATATTTTTTCGGGTTTGGGTCCAGCTTAATTCAACCCGACCTATAGCCACCCCTAACCAATACCCTTTGATCATCACTCTTATTACATTTAATATAGTCTAGTTCTCTCACATTTTTGTTAACCTATAGATATCTTCTATACATTTTCTCTGTACAGTTATCGGTAACCCCTGGCTTGCGGAACTAAGAATCTCTTGGCTAAATGTGAAGTAGATGAATATAACTATAAATCAAGTGCAACAAATAAAGCAAACATAAAAATCACACTACAACAACACACAATTTACCTGGTTCACCCTATAGGGCTACATCCATGGCCTCAACAAATAGAAATCCACTATTATAATGGAGATTACAGTTTTGGGTTATAAGAGATAATACTTATCTCTAAACACCGTAAAATACCATCATCGATCTTCTTTTTTAAACCCGCTCTCTCGATTGAGCAATATCTGAAAGAAATACCTATGTAATCTTTTGTCGGGGAAATACAATTTTTAAAAATAATAATAATAATAATCACCCCTTATACTTTTGGCAACAATATCACTCACAGATGGTCTTTTTACAAACAATATAAATTCCAAAAATTAAATAACACATAAATAAAATAAATATCAACTTCTTAATGCCATTCATACAACCTAATACTGTACTTAAGAATATAAAATAAAAGAACAAACAATTTGTCACACCCCAAGAATTTACAATACTATTATTCCTGAGATGTGACGGACAAAACATATATACATCTATTGATAGGACAAATTTACACTAACGAATTCTTACAAAGTAACAAAAAAAAAAGCTTAGACACAACTACAATATCTTCCAAAGTTGACCTTGACGAGTACTCAAAATGAATCCGTAGTTATCCTGAAAAAATGTTTACCATAGTTTGATGAGTTTGGCTACTAGGTAAGTGATGATCATAATCCTAAAAATAATCATGATTGAAAGATATCAATATTTTCCAAAATGAGATCTATTAATAGAAATGCATCAACAGTTTCACTTTCAATAAATGCATAATAAAGTATAATCCGAGTAATTGAAATGCTTATAACACTTTTAACGACAGTACATAATTCAAAGGATTTCACAAAATACCCTACTGGCGTCCCAAGTAGGTCACCTATATACCCCATCAGCGTCCTGATGGGTCCACTTAATCCCTATCGGCGTCTCAGATAGGTCCACTTAATCCCTGCAGGTCCACTTATACCTCACCGGCGTATCGGATGAGTCCACTTAATCCCTACCGGCGTCCCAGATAGGTCCACTTATACCTCACCGGCGAACTGGATGAGTCCACTTGCATACCTAAATTATTTATAAATCTCTTTAAACATTCGAAATCAGCAATATCATGTACTCAACATATCACTGAAACCATTAATATGAATTTCACTTAAACCATTAATAACAGTCACTCTTTATAACATTTCAAAAATAACCAATCAAATATTTTGGGCTCAAATTTAGAAAGGTAGCAGTTTGTAAAGGCATTCTAGCATAATTGCCAATTTAATATGTATAGAAAAACTCTTATAAAAATTCAAGAATACGGAATTATCACAATTTATGGAATATCAATTCACAAATAAACATTTTACAACAATACTATAATCAATTGCAAAAATGTCAATTTTTAAATAATACGGCAGTCATTTGCACATGAATTTTTCAATGTCTAAATATTCAAAACAGTAGAAAGAAATATCACAATTTTACTAAAAGCAGAATTATCACAATTTTTTTCTAACAATAGACAAGATAAATAAATAAATTTATTTTTCTAATTTACAGCATTCAAAATTTCTAACATAGATAAAATATCACAATTTTTATTAAAAAGATTATTTTTCAAGATAATGAGGTCACGTGCGCATAAAATTTATTGCGCCTAAAATTCATGATAATAAGCAAAAATAATTATTTCATTTTATTTTTAAAAAGAATGGATTATTTTTTGAGACAATGAGGTCACTTACACACAAAACTGATAAAATAAAGATCCTAGACGGAAATATCACTATTTATTAAAAATAGACTATTTTTCAGAAAGACGATGTCACTTACACACAAAACTTATAAAATAAATATCCTGAACGAAAATATCACTATTTATTAAAAACAGACTATTTTTCAGGAAGACGATGTCACTTACACACAAAACTTATAAAATAAATATCCTGAACAAAAATATCACTATTTATTAAAAACAGACTATTTTTCAGGAAGACGTTGTCACTTACCCACAATTATTTGAGAGGGAGCTTCCGATAAAAATTTTCGGTTCGAGAGAGAAGTTCACTGTGTTTCGACCAGAGAAAGATCTCAAAGTTTTGTTTTAGGGTGGGAGTGCTCACATCCCCTATTTAAATTCTTATAACGTATTATTATATTATTTTCTTACGCTCTACCTCATACCTGAGGTGTCGCGTTAAAAGCAGACTTTTATCGTACAAAAACCACGTCCGCTAAAGGACGCTACCAGCTGCAAGCAGCAGGAGGCAAAAGCGGGCAAAGCAAAAAGTAAAGGCAAAGCAAAAGTTAATCCAAAGCAAAAGTTTTTGAAAACAGTGATGGTCCCCAAGGACCATCATACTCAAACAAAACATCACCTATTTATAAGCATATTTTCTCCCTTTTTTTTTTTTTTTGAAATTTTAGGATTGTTACACAATTAAAAGAAAAGATGGCGGAGGTTACCTCAACCGAGCTTTTTACACCCCACACAAAGTCACTACATCCAATGGCTCGGGATCAACGGTCTAGCTTCAATCTCGAACTGAGAAAGCTAATTTCGGCCAAACTAGGTAATCACCCTTAAATCTCTACAAAACTCTAACTCCAAAATAATTAGGCTCAAACCCTAATTTTTTCAACCCTTAGATTTGATAATGAGAGAGAGATAAAGAAATACGAGAGTAGAGAGAGAGAGGGGTGTGGCCCCTAGGGAAAAGAGAGAGAGAGTTTATGGGAGAGAGATGTGTGTTGAGATGGGGGAGAACACCCTTATTTATAGTGAAATTTAGATCTAGGGTTTCCTATAGTTTGCCTCTTTCTTGAGATTGAATATGGACTATTGATCAAAGTGATTTGTGGGGTAAGAGATCTAAGCCATCCATTCCATAA